ACAGTCACTTCTACTGTGAAACCAACCGTCTCCATGTCTGATACCTTGGGACCTCAGTATACCTCGACTTACACCACGACGAAGCCCGACGGCTCTGTGGAAACAGAGTGTATTGTGGTTATCGTTACAACGGATGCTGCCGGTTCTCTGACCACAAGAGTTTCGACGATGATGAGTGGTTACAATTCAGAAAGTATACTGACGAGATCTCCAGAGGAGTATAGCTTGAAGACCTCTACGTCCACTGCTTATGCGGCAAGTGTGCCTCCTGATACTAGCTACACAATCGAAGTTGTCTCGACTTTAACAACTGTCGTTTTTGGACCAAGCTCGTCTTTAACTACCATGGTGACATACACCCTGACTGCGTGTATCAACTGTGATTACGGCGAATTAGCTAGTGAGTCGGCATACTATCTGAGTACTGCCACAGACTTGGGCCCTATGAGCGAATCTCAAACATCATCAATTTCGACTTTTAATAGAGCTGCATCCAGCTCTAGGCTTCTGGGTATGGTTCTTGTGCCCTTGTTAGCAATTTTGCTCTAGTTGTTCCTTTTTGAAGATTCTGATATTTTCTTTTGCTGTACCATATTTTCGAGGATGTTAGCTTGGACGATGTTTTTCCCTTGATTTTGTTGATCATTGCCTTGAGTTTAGCCGCCGCTTTTACATATTTTTTCGCCAGCCACCAGGCTGATCTTTCAAATAAATTTTGCTTCTAGAATCGTTCGCTTTTTTGTAGAAATCGCCAGAGACAACAAATCGTAGCCTACCATGTTATGTTTCTTTGCTTTTATGTGCACCTAGAAAAATCACGCTTAACATGTTTAACTGCGCCACATTACATCAAATGCACCCAGGCTATCAGCTCTCGGTTAATCAATTCGAACTGTGATCTCCCTATGTGCAATAGTTTCCTGAGATTCTTAAGCAGCCAATTACAAGCATCAAAACATTGCCATTTCATTTATTTTGGGGCTTTCTTAGATCTTACATCAATTTATCGTATATTTAACCAACATCAAACAAATGGACTAACTTATCTCATACCTTCCCGTTCATCCCAGGGATTCTCTTACACGTTCCGTCTACGAAAAAATCATTTTACACTAAAAGTTAGAATTATTCTTTTGTCGTTTTTCCAGTGTTATGAACTTTCGGACAAGCATTTTTAGTGATATTGAGAATAAGCTGAGCCACAAATGGCTCGGAGCTAAAGTTGCTTCATGAGCAGGGAACAGAAAGTACTCCTGAATTGTACATGGCTAAATATGCACAGCAAAGCGATCTTTGACTTTTCCACTTCTTCGTCTTTCACTTGCTGTCCTATGAATCAAATATTGATATCTATTTCGCAATATAGCGCACTCCAAGCTTAAACTCACCACATATTTTTTGTTGACAAATTTTTCGAAACTTTGAGAAATATTAAACGATAACAAGACACCACTCGCATACAGTATTTAGCATAGCCCCGAAGGCGAAGAACCAAGAAAAATTAAAAAAGGTAACAACAGAACATACCCTGGGGTACATGAATTTAGCTCAGCCTATTTTTCAAAATAGCACAGTCTCTGGTATGAAAACATCACGGGGCCTGGAAGACAACAAATTTTGATAGACATACATCAAGATCAAGCCTTCGCTTCATAATGCTTGGTAACATTGGACAAGAGAAATTAACTATGAAACAAAATATCACAGTAATAGTGAGCAGGTATTTTTGAATTCAAAACAAAAAATTTGTGACATCTCTGGAAAGGTCACATTCTTATATTATTAGCCAAATGTGATTTTTTGGAAGACGATCCTTTTCGCAGGTGTATCCCTGTGAGCATTTTCAGGCACCTTATATTAACTCTATGGGCAAAATTAAACAGCATCATGTACGCTTTGGGAAGGCCTAGGGAATGTTTAAATGCATTTGCGTATTGTCTCAGTAGTTGGAACCATCTGTATTTGTATACACAAGCATCTGTTGAAGTCTACTCCGCTCATTAGTGCCAATAGATCACTATAGATGATGCTTCTGTGAGTATAAAAGCTGATATTCCTATTACCAGAAGAAGCGGAAATAAATGACAGAACAGGTAGTGAGATCCGCTAAAGAAAATAGTTTGTGATATGGATTTAACCATTCTTGAAGTTTCCTTCGAGGTATAAAGAAGACATGATCCTGACGCGGTTCTCGGAAAGATTTCTCGTCGGTAGTTGAGTCAGTAATAATACACTGAGACCTATTAAAGTGGAAATAATTTAAGAGAGGAGAAAGCTTGCAAAGATAAAATCCTCAAAGGAAAGATTTACTTCCTAAAAATTAGCAGTACCATGGAGATGGCTCCACGCAGCAATCCATATAGATATATTTCCTTCGGGATCCTGCAAACCTCGACAGAAAGCGAAGCATTGATATTAATGAAGGCAAGTTTTGGAAAAGCATGTCCTGGGACACAGAATTTTGGATTCTTTCATTATCCTCAAAGATGAATTTCAAAGAAGAAATTCACGCTTTTCCCACTATAAAAAACCCTGATGGGCAAACAGCAAGCTTTTGAGAATAAATACTTCACTGTGTGAATGTAAGTCCCTGGTATCAGCTAGGGTCAATGGACTGCATATATATATATATATATATATATATGTACTTTGATTACGGTGAGATCCG